CATAGGGATAGTTGTAAATTTGAAATTAATTCTTAATTCGATCCGCATAGGATCCGTGTTAGAAAGAAATAATGGACATCGTATCACTATGTCCTGAATATCTCGTATCATCGAAAGATACGTTTAGAGACGAATTCTCAATTTCTAATAATTTAGGGATAGTTGTAAATTTGATAAACATAGGGATAATTTAATAACATAGGGATAGTTGTAAATTTGAAATTAATTCTTAATTCGATCCGCATAGGATCATAATGGACATCGTATCACTATGTCCTGAATATCTCGTATCATCGAAAGATACGTTTAGAGACGAATTCTCAATTTCTAATAATTTAGGGATAGTTGTAAATTTGAAATTAATTCTGAATTCGATCCGCATAAGATCCGTGTTAGAAAGAAATAATGGACATCACTATGGACATCTTGAATATCTCGTATCATCGAAAGATACGTTTAGAGAATTCTCAGTTTTTAATAATTTCAGTAACCCATAGAGATAGTTGTAAATTTGAAATCCGATTGTAGTAAAATATAGTAGTTAGCAAAGATCTTATTATCTACTATTTATTTTAAATATATCAAATATTGCAACAACTACCGTACTCTAGATAGTTAATATATTTTTATATATTATGCGCATTCTGTGCATGTATAAAGTATGTTTACGAAGTTGCTCATAAAATTCTATCCCTTCATAACAGTTTTTTCTTTACACAAAGTTATATTATTGCTTTTGATAAATATTCGAATATACATTATATATTTGAATATATCCGTTCCACGCAATTCTTCTTCTTCTTTTTTTTTTTTTTTTTTTTTTAATTTCTTTCTCCTCATAAAAACTGTCACGAAATAAAAACGATGCAGGCAAGTAACCCCGGTCAATTCGAGTCGGAAGGGAGTGGCGTAGGCGGCGAGGGTGGTTGGCAAAGAGGAGCAGCACCGGACAGCGTTTATCATACTGGTCGTGTTGGAATTAACACCGACAGGCCTGACGAAGCTCTGGTTGTTCATGGCAATATGAAGGTGCTGTCGCGATACCTTAACAGACCCTAACGATTAAACAATGCAAACGTCGTTATAATGATTAATGTTGTACAGGTGACTGGCCATATTGTCCAACCCAGTGACGCACGAGCGAAACAAAACGTACAGGAAGTGGACACGCGTGAACAATTGCGAAACGTGCAACAGTTGAGAGTGGTACGTTACAGATACGCGCCGGAATTTGCGCAACATTCTGGTTTGGGTATCAAGCAGCAAGAAGACACGGGTGTCATAGCGCAGGAAGTGCAGCAGATACTACCGGAAGCTGTGCTGCCTGCTGGGGACATTGTCCTACCAAATGGCCAGAGAATCGAAAACTTCCTGCTGGTGAATAAGGAGAGGATATTCATGGAGAATGTCGGTGCTGTGAAAGAACTGTGTAAAGTAAGATGGCTGTCTAATCTTTCAATTCTCTTCCCTTCTATCCTTTTGTTTTTAACTTCGTCGTTATTACGTGTCGTTTTGTCAAACTTTCCAGGTGACGGATAGCTTGGAAACTCGCATAGATCAGCTGGAGCGAATAAACAAGCGGTTGGCGAAGCTGAAAAGGGGCGATAGTCTAAAAAGTTCGATTAGTACAATCTCTAGTATATCAAGCAACAAATACTCATCCTCTATCAATAGCAAGGCCACTGTACAGGGAAAGGGGAAGAAATGCGAGCGGGAGGACGAGCTCCTCTGCAGCAATAAGTTTATTCAAATTATCATTGTTATACTTATCCTCATCATGGCGTTTTGGTAATTCAAATTCTCTTGTGCTCTCTCTCGTCTTGCATTCGTGTACAACAAATTAATCGCCAAACCGTATTCCATCGAATCGTTTTCACATTGCAGCTTAGTGGCAATGGCGACGTTGTATTTCTTAGAATATCAGAAACGTAGTAGCCTCGAATGGACCGCGGTAGCCAGCAATGGAATGTTGGCTATCAGACCAGCTCATCCTTCTGCAGCATCGAGCACGCCTAATTACGATCCTCGGTACAACTCGTTGTTAGGCAGTACGTTATCGTCCTCGTACACTAAACATGGATCCTATAGCAGAGGCTTGGACAGCAGTTTGTCCGTGAGGGTCAACGCGTTCTCTACGCAAGCGCCTCAGACGAAGCAACAAGTTTACTCTCAAGAAATTACTTGGTATCCTATCAGCCATTCTGGGCCACAATCAAAACTCGAGAAAAATAGGTTTGTGATATTACTAGTAGTTTCAATTTTTTTTTTTAAATAATTTCAAAACCAATGTTTCCCTCACCTTATTACCGATTGACAATCATTAAAATTTAAAATGAAATATATAACATAAATTTATAATACAAATTTGTAAGTTATATATTTTTCTTAAATTTATTTATAATTTATATTTACATATTTTTCTTCCTAAAAAGAAAAGTTTATCACGATCAACAGATGTCAAGTTATTATCTATTATTGTCACTGAATAAATGAGCGTAAATGTGTTTTACATTATCATCTATATGTACTATATATCAAAATAGATATAGAATTAAATACATATTTATCACACAAAACATGATATTATCTTATAGTCTATACTCTATCCTACAATCTTATGCTATATCATGTGTTATATCATAAGTGATGCAGATGACAAACAAATAATAATATTTCATAATATCGCAAATAATCGTAAGAAAATACAGCAGACGTTTTTCAGAAATCTTTAAAGATTTTATTAAAAAAAAAAAATTACTGCTTGACCTTAAATAAATATTATAAATAAATTTATAATTCAAATTATGATATGAAATTTCTAAATAAATTGGAATAATAATAAATGAACTATAATCTTTCTTTCTTCAAACTTCATTATACATATCTTGACGTATGGTATTTAAATTGTTTTAGCGAATTTCCTGGGAACTGGTTGGGTAAACATGGCGCCGGTGCCATTCCTAGTAACGTAGATGAAAACGATCAAGGATCAGAGGTCGACTCGTCTCTGAACAAGGGTCCAATTCCATTGGGCAGACCGTCGAATTGTCCCAAGCACTTCAGCGAATTTGAAAATCCTTGTCGGGTAAGGCTTCCTCGATTAAATCACTTGTTTTTCGTCTTATTCATATACTGAATGTGCTGTATTCATACACTGAATATTATGTTTTAGATATTCTGTTGTACAACTAAGATTCATCAATTTGAGGAACCTCAACCTGATCATCCTCCGGAAAAGAAATCAATTTGTAAGTCAGACATTTCTCTTTTAAACGCATGAAAAAAAAATGTATGAAAACGAATATCATAAACTATATCAATGTATATAAATGTTATAATATTATAGGTAAATGTATATATTTATATCATAATGTATAAGGTAAACACTTAATCATCTTGAATATCTTTGTTGTCTTTAAAGATATGAAAACACTTTGTTAATAAAAATTATTTTCTATTAAGAGGGCCGTAATGCAACAGTAATGATTTTCTTGTGGAGGAGTAATTTCAACTCATTTTTTTAAAATGAGATGGTATGGTTTTTGATACATTAATCGATGCAGCACGATAATTTATTTTAACTTCAATTCTATAAAATTCATACATGAAAGACAAGAATAGTATGAACATAAGAATACTGTGCCTCCCCGTCTTTCATAGAGTAGATTTTACAGAAAATTAAAGTCAGAATGTTTTAATGAATATCAAGCTGCATCAATCAGTGGAACCAAAAATATATCATTGAATTTAAAAAAATAAAGATGACTTTGAAATGATCTTGAACTTCTCCAGCTATAACAAAATTATTACTGTCATATTATGTCATATATAACTTTGAACAATTTTTGTTAACATAATTTTTTCATATATTCAAGTGATATGATATGATAATTCATGTATATTTTATATATAATATAATATTATTGCATACATATATGTGTATATACATAATCATCAGCGAAATAATCTTCACGATTTTTGAGGCAATTCCGACAATTTAATGAAAATATGTTTGAAACAAGAATTAATCGGTCCTTGCTTGTTATGAAATAATAATAATAACAACAATAATAAATGAAATATTAAGAAGTATTTTTTTTTTTTTTTTTAGTGTTAATGCATGTAAACAAGAAAATATGATTTCATTTTATAGCAGATCACATAGAACAACCATTGAATGTATTCGAGGAGAAACGTAAAATAAGCAAAAGCTTTCAAAACGGCAGGCTTCCATCCGATCCAAACACGCAGACACTTGTAAAAGAGGTAAAGGAGGTAAGTATATCAATTAATGACTGTTTAAGCTGACAATTATCTGCAGAGATGTAAAAGATGATTCCATTTGTCACAGAACAATTACAAATATCCGCCTAAAAGGACAAGAAGAGAAACCGGTAGTGGAGATTGGGCGGAAGTCGCCAGTAACGCTGCAGGATCATTGCCACCAGAGCCGAAGCCACAATTGTGGATAGTAGCAGAAAGCTTCAATACTTCGCTCGATCAAAAGTATTGCTCCGCGTCCTCGCAGGACACACCGAATAATATATCTTGTATCATTCCTCTGTCCAAATACATGCCAGACGTTCAACTTACGTTACATTTCATGTAAGTCTGTAATTCATTTTACATAGTATTGCCAATTGCAACGGCAATAAGTGAGAATGTGCAAGTGAAAGAGAATGAAAGAGTAATAAAAAGTGTAATAAAATAAGAAATAAAGTAAGCAAGAGTTTAACGTCGCATTGGAGTGGATTCCACGTTTATGATTATAAATTTTATTTTCAACTCAGTGGGATGCCCTGGTACGGTCAAGTAGTGCAACAGTGCTCCTCGCCGATGAGTCCTGGCATCGATGAATCCTTAACATGCGGCCGGAGATACACGATACAACAGCAGGCTCGACTAAAGATCGATATTGAAAGTAACAATCAACGGGGAGATCAGTCGTTCTCTCTCGACGTTGCTCATTACCTTAGGAAAACGTTGAGGTTTCGCGTACCTACTGTACAGCCTCAAGAGGTAATTAATTCCATTCTTTCAAGTTGATATATTTTCTCTCACAAATGTTGCAATTCCATTTTTCTTTTTCTTTTTTTTTGCAGAATATCTGTAAGAACAAACACGGTGTTGATTACTCGGAGTACACGTTGTACTTTTATCGTGACTGCGACGAATGATTGCTTTGTTAATAATTCACAGAGGACTCGACACGAAAGATTTCACGTTTGTTTTCGAGCAATCGTTGAATATACATTTATACAGGACCTCCTTGCAGCTTCGTAACATATTCCGTCTCCATTTTCTCCAACTATGAAATTATATATATATATATATATATATATGTTTGCTAATATATCTATATTACATATACATATCGTATATATACATATCAAATAAATCTATAATTGTATTTTATATGTTATTACGATCAGTACCGTGTAGCGTGAAGACTATGATGATCAATAGGAACGGATAGATCTTACAGACTTAAGCAGTAAATATAATGAAATTTATAATTTCCATTTCGACGGTTGGGAATAGTGCCCCTTTGCACTGAATGTTAGTTGATGGGTGACAATTTAAAGTTTTCATTGTTTCCTTTTGGTAGAGAACATGAAAACTATGACACTATCAACTGTAACATATTGTACAAAATGAATTAAATTTTCAAGATGGCTCAATGCACGTGTAATACTTGTATATATACCTATATATATATATATATATATATATTTCTTTCTTTTTTCTTTTGGAAATAAGAATATTTCAAAATCACACCCATCAACTATTATTAACAATTAACATGCGGTTTCAATTAATTTTATGTTATTTATATACTCATGTACAAAATATTATTAATTATTATTATTATTATTATCAGACAAATATTAATACTACTTTAAGAGGAAGAAATTTAAGAAACGATATTCCAGTCAAATTTTGGATTTAATCCATCAAATATATTCTACGTATAGTCTATATATATATTTTATTTCATTGCAAGTCTTTGTCTCAAAAGATAAAAAGACAAAACATATCACAAACGAAGCCAGAAAATATATTCGCAACAAAATAAAGCGAACATTAAATGGCTCAGAGATTACGAAGATTTTCAACTAGTTACAAACAATTCGAAGAACGTCTGTTTGTTGTAAAAGTGTACAAAGCTATATCGATGACTCTTTATTGACTTTCTTCTTAAGATCTTGATCGATTGCTTGATCTTGAATTCGATTGAATATCGCAGAATTTCTTTCAAGTTCCTAAAAAAAAAAAAAGGTATTTGTATGATAATGTCGATCGACATTAATTGCATACACTTTATTTGCACCTATTCTCTAAGCAGTTTACTCATTGCATGCGAGTAGATCGTTGCTATTCACATCGAATCATTATTATCGCTATCACTATTGCCGTTGCTAAGTACACATGTCTGGTAAAATTATTATTATTATTGTTGTACGATCTGTAATTAAATTCAAATTTGATTATTCATCTTTCCATTCGCGGGATTCCAAGTATTATCTTTTACATTTAGAAATCTTAACAAGAGAAAATGACAATTATGTACATATCTATAAATATACAGGGTGTTAAAAAATCTTATCAGTCAAATTTCAAGGGCATACAGCATAATTATCAAAATGAGCAACAAATCTTAATTTAAATACAGTTTGGCAAAGGTGAAGTTTCAAAATCATAGAATATTGTCAATTATGTGATGTCTCTAACAGAACAACAAATTTCATAATTGCAATGCAAAAAACGACGAAATGTATTTATTGTTGCTTAACACAATTTTTAGATTTACTTTGTTAGATTTAAATGATCTTCTATAAAATGTGAATTCTATTATATACAAAGATTCTTCATTTTTTACTTGATGTGTGTCTGATGGAAATTTTATGTTTTAGTCGTCGATAGTTCTAGTATTAATCATGTCGTACGTTTATCTGCGATTATTATTTTATAATAATTGACTGTGAATAGTAGAAGAGTAAATTACTCATTCAACGAGCACGCAATAAAATTCTATATTCTGTTGGAGGCTTGGTAATTGAAACTATTTTGTAACTATTTTGTATCACAGTAATGATAGCTTGTGCTCGCTTCTGTTAAGATCCTTTTTATAATTTTTGATTGAATGCATGCTCGTGAGATTTGCACCATTTTTCGAGCAGACTGTATGATTTACACCACTGGCCAGAAATTTCAATCATTTTTCCATTTGTTTTGCCAAGTTTCTAATTCACTTTACATTCTCAAGTGAAGAGTGTCTTTTCAAAAAAAAAAAAAAAAAAAAAAAAAAAAAAAAAA